TCGGCCAATGATATAGTTCGAAAACTTGAATATATTATACATGAAAAAACATCGTGATATGAGAAATACTTTTCACTCCGGAGAACTATAGGAATAGCATGATTAAATTTCCAGGCCTCTGCATTTTAATCCAATAGGTAATTGTTACCGAGAGCAACGTACCATCCAGAGACTTAGTCCCAAAACCAGGTTATGATGCAAATCCTAACACCCAACTTAATCTTTCGTTACCTTTCCAAGTCCAGTGTGGGCAAGCCCCCTGCCCCCTCCCCCCGATTTATTAGCACTTTGTGTCAACCTATAGAAAATGGACATTAGAACTCAGGTTGTGTGAGGGTGTTGCGACCTTAGTCTCTTAGTGGTGATATGCAGCAGATATTTTTGTCATTTACTGGTAAAAATGAGGCTGCTGCAGCTTAACTATGTTCTTTCTTATTCTATTTCTTACACATTATAAGATGGCATTGTTTTTTCCCTCTTCTCTCCTCGTGTCGCTCTTGATACCTACACCGCCCAAAGTTTAACATAAGTTGGATTTACATGATATTTGGCTAGGTTTATATGAAATAAGGTTTAAATTTAGGCTAGATTAATTTAACCCAGGCTGGGCTATCTGGAATGAGTTGAAGTAGGGTTATGCAAAGTTATATTTCAGTGAGGTTTTCATGTTGATTTTGCTTGCAATATTTTGACTATCACAGAACTCTTATTGAGATATGACCATTTGTTTATCCAGGGGGAAGGAGGGCAATAGATTAGACTACAAGATATACAGAAATACGGGACAAATGTGGGTCACAGTGTAAATATGTCAGTACTAATATGGGTAATAAAGTGTCGTCAGAAGTTATATGACCATATAATTTTCTGTATATTTTCATTTGCAGATTTGTTTGTTTACATTACTGAAACCATGAGAAGCTAGACCTTCAACTTAATATAATGTCTTGTTTACATCATTGACCAACATGAAGGTGTTTGTGTTTGCTCCAAAGTGTTTGGAGAAAGCTTCTGAAATCTTTAAAATTTCTGATGAAAGGAGCATCTCTCGTGTAAATTCCCAAACTGTAGTGCTTGTCACCCTCATATTACACAGACTACCTCCCTCCATTCCTTTGGAAGATCATGGGTATGGTATAGGACAAAGTTGCCACCATTTGGCAACAGATCCGAATGCGATGGTAGACCCCGGACTTTGGTTTGAAAAATGTGTGTAACTTTTTAAAATTGGTTATATTTTTTACGATATTATATTTTTTATGATACTATAACTTCAGATTGGTTTTTAGATATGTATTTATAACATGATATGAAATAATATTGATTTACAAAAAACTAATCGATGCTGAAATCTGTGTCGTAGCATCGCATTCGCCTCATTTTCCGTAGTGGTGGTAACATCTTGAGATTATTTTGTAGATTTCAGAATAGTCAAAAAGGAGGAGCAAGGAATTTTAATTCACAGTGGAATGGTCTTTTCTTATCATATTTTGTATTAACACATGCAGAAGCTGGAATCCATCGTCATAGTTCCGAAGGTAATTCTGTAATTTCCTGAAATTCTTATAAATCTTAGTAAGTGGGTGAGGTTTTCTGTCTTGCCTACTTTTTCGGATGAAAAAAATCGGCCAACCTTTTAAGAATGTAGGTCATGCTTTTTAACCCGGATGTTAGAGTGATTCAACTGCTGATGCCAGGATTGTATATGTCCTGTCTGCTGTTTTTATTTTATTTTAGTTATACATGAATGGCTTAGAAGTGCTTAGTCACCAAAGAGTCACTTGCCAATTCTATCTGATCTTGCTTATTTACCCCATTCCTTGAAATTTCATAAAGAAAATATTTTACACCTATTACTATTATTGTTGCTAGTAATGTTATAATTTAGAAAATAGCAATAATGTGAATAATTATGTTTAAAAGATTATTTTAATAATAGTATAAGAAATCATGTTTTCTCACACACACACACAAAAAAAATAAGGGATAAGTAAATAGGTGAAGTCAAAGTAGATCTGTAGGTAAACAAACAAAACTACAATAAACAGCATTTGTGCCTGGTGCCAGTGGATAATATTTCTTTACTATATGGATGCTAAGGTAGGCCAATTGAGATGATATTCTTGTAGAGGACTAAAAGCTGCAGTTGTTTGTACAAGAAATAATCTGCAGACATGAATGGTAATGCCATAAATATGAGAAAGATTGCGGAAATTGCTGCCCACTGCCTAAGTCCACTTGGTTTCAGTTCTATCTTGCCATGCATAAGAGGTGAAGACAATGTTTCCCAGGGTGTGTTTGGGGGGCAGAGTCCCCTCATCAACCCTCCCCTTGGCAGTTCTTCGGGACGCCCAATCATGTCACCTTGGATTGAATAAATTTTGTTACATGATGGACCATCTCTGGTGTCATTACTTTATGGAATTACCAACTTTTTGGTTATTCTTACAGCTTTATTTATTTACAGCTTTATACATTAAATATCCCTTTCTGATTCCTT